AACTGTGTCCATCTTCATTTCAGGCTGCAAAGCAACAAAATGTGTTTATTTAAAGGGGGGTGACTATTTTTCTCTACCCTATATATATATACACACACATACATACATACATACATACACACACCTCTATATCTATATATAAAGTTTTCAAAACTAAACTGAAGCTAACTAGAGCAGTACTTTGGTTCTAAAGTATAAAAACTAATAAAAAATTGTGCTGACAGTAAATGTAATGTGTAACTCAACAATATAACACCACTAGCAATAAACTGGATAAGTGCCACAGAGGACTATTATGGATCATGAAGCACTTCAACATCATTATGCAATTCACTATTAGACAAGTCTGCAGGGAAATGTCATAATGTCATTCTTTATTGATTATTATTAAAAACAATTGGGTACACATGCACTGAAAATCCCAAAAAGTGAAATACTATACAGTGTTCTACCATTGTCCTTAACACACCATACTGAGAGTGATAGTAATACCTCCATTGCTGTTGTGTCGTGACAATTCATTCCTTGAAGTTCAATTAGATTAAAAAAAATGAAAAAAATGAAGACACTAAATAAAAAACATTGAATTGAAAACACGTAAATATTCCACTAAAATGCAGCCAATTCCTCTTTTGAAAGACCTGCATACATGTGCTTGGTGTGAAATACAGCAGCCTTCCAGACTGCTGACAGAACAGAACGGAGGAATGATCTTAAGACAACTCACCTCAACAAACACCACCATACAGAAATATGAGCATGTGGAGATAACAAGATCTGATGTGTCAATATGAAAACAAATCAGCTTAGTTAATTATCTTTAAGGATTCCTACAAATGAGAAACAAGAATATGCTTTCAATTTTCAAAGTGCTCAGTTGAATTACTTCTGATTTCCAGAAAAAGGGCAAACCACTTGTCCGCACGTGAAAATCGTGAAATAATGATAATAGTCTTATCACTATCCACTACCATGGTGAGAAAGAGACTTGAGGACTTGAAGTGTCTTACAAGAGAAAGGGGAAATATTTGAGGCTTTAGAGAATCCATGACAGGGCCATAAACAATTTAGACCATCAAAGAAATGAAATCATTGTGTTTAAGCTTTGACTTGACAAGTCTATTTAAAGGATCGGAGATATGATTGACACAATGATTACAGTAAGGTGGCATGCCATTGTAATGAGCTGTTACCCATTAAACCACAGACCACAAGCATTCCTTCTAAGAATCTCACCAACTACTCCAACAACGATGAACAAAGACAGCAAGGCAGAAACTGAAATGTAGGAAAACAATAATAGCCCTCCACTGTTGACAAAGTAGAATTCAGTACATAAACTATTCTCAAGTCATGCTAATGTAATATTTCAGGGCTACATTTTTCAGTAATGAAACCCGAGTGTTGTGTTTTTCCACTGTGAACACAAAGAAGCCAACAATAAGTCATTAGACAAACCACCACGTCCACTCCATAGAAAGGCCAACTGTGAACAGTATGTATACTGTTTATATTATATATAAACAACACCAATTTGATTATTTACATGATTATTTTTCTTGATCAAGTACTCGTTAAGATGTCCCACCCACATTCATTGTTGTATTCACACTAAATATATTTTAAAAAGAAAAATCAACAGTCATTTGCACATACACACAAGTGTGAAAGTGACAGCAAATGAATCACCAACCATGTCTACAATTAATCGGTTTTAAAACCATCTTAAAATGTACTGTTTGTTGGAAGCCAAGGAGAGAAAATAACTGGGAAAATTAAAAATGAAGTGGAGTGTAGATCCTCAGTAAGAAGATGATGAATTAAACTAAATTAAAAGTCCGGCAAAAAGGTTTAAATAAAATTAAAAAAGAAAACAGTTATTGCCAAAATCACTGGCAATATGACCATGTAATTTTGTTTTTTAAAGGGAAAAAATACCAGTGGCATGAGAACATTTTCTGCCTATATAACATGGAATCAGACATCAGTCTACTAACTAAGACGGATGATATTAAGCAAGATGTAATGAAATTAAATATTTACAATGACACAAACAGGCCCACGAATTCAAATCCAATGGATCCTATTGCCAATATTACTTGGACACAGGATGAGTCCTGAAGTCACATTTCTTTTGTTTCTTGCTGGTCAGTGACTGTGTCCCAGGCTTCACTGGTTTTTACTTCATTAACAGTGCTTGCAAGGCAAGCAATGTATATTGACAGTCATGTTTTTCCATTTTTCTATACATCTCTAGTTCCACGCAGACTCCATTCCAACTTTGTTTTGCAGATGTGTTTATAGATTGAGAACTTTAAAAAGGTGTTGAATATTGAGAATTCAAAATGTAACTATCAGTGGTAATTTGATTTTACCAAAATGTTAATGCTATTCTTTTGCCGCCTTGCAAACACTGGAATCTCCTTCAAAAAAAAAAAAAAAATCTATAACACTATCCAAACAGCTGCCTCTATACGTAACAGCTATGCATGTAAATGAAACTTGTAACATTATGCTGAATCCACAAAATTGCATTAACCTTTCCAATATATATGAAATGCACAATTTCCAGAGAATTTCAATTGTTTTCTGAAACAACAGCATATACATCCTTCGCTAAAAATATCAATTGGATGAAAAACACGGTTCACGTTTTTTTAACAAGCTCAATATCTCATTTCATCTCTCTTGCACCTCCTGTTTTCACAGAGAGCCGGCAAAATTAAGTGAGAGCAAAATGATCAGCATATCTTAAGTTAAAAATCATTCATGCAGTCTGGCATTAGCCCATGCAAAACGATGGGAATGTATCCCGATAGTGAGAAAGCAGCAGAAACGTGTAACCGTGAGGTGCAGTGCACGGGTGTAACGGTGAAACATCATGTCTGACGGGGTTGTGGGTGACGTGGCTCCCATGTTTACTGGTTAATGTGTAAAACCATACAATGCTGATCGCTCCAATATGATGCACCACATTGCAGAGAACAGCTGACTTTATAGCGGTGCCAACATGCACCCTTAAATGCTATTGAATGACAATCTTCCTTCCTTTGAGGTACACAGCTGAAAGCACACACAGTCACTCATTCATTTCACAGATGAGATCCACAGCTACCATCAACCTACAGTTGTAAATTCAGTAGTACTACCGAAAGTAAGGCATTCTTTTGACATCTACCAGTATTAGGAGTTGGTTCAGATTGTGCAAATGTTTAAAGCAACAGAAAACAAAACATACATGAATACTGTAAACATCTGAGGTGCGCTCCTATGAAGAACCCGGATGCAGTCCTATTCGACATTTGTGGTGTCAGGTTCCTTCTGTCTCTTTGGCAGTAGTGGTTTCTTCAGGCCAATGAAAGCATTTACAATGCACTGTTGTGCAAACAAGTCTGTGTGTTTTTTTTCTCGTTGCTGGTAATACTGTTTTAACTTATACTCAGCTGAGCAAATCCCATGAGTTTAATGTCGTCTGGAATTTCAGAGCTGTCCACTCCCGATGCCTAAACGGAAGAAA